CCCCTTTCTTTAAAAAGTGCTTGACTTTTCAGACCCAAAGTCTGACGGATAAATAAAGGCAGACAGATAGAGACAGACAGCACAAGATCAAGGTGAGGTGAGGACAGGACGAGTTCAACTTTGGACACGGTTCCACATTCCTGAGCTTCCTTGCGTACCTTTCCTATTATAGCAATTTCTGGGTGGCATTATATCGAGTGTGTGTCCAAGCTACTGTTGCCTTTGTTTTGAAGGAGATGAAGCTGCAGCTGGATGTGTATAACATTCATCTGGGTGCAATGGCACAAACATTGATAAGAGAGGACGAGGTATAAAAGCTGCAGAAGTGTGTGTGTGTGTGTGTGTGTGTGTGTGTGTGTGTGTGTGTGTGTGTGTGTGTGTGTGTGTGTGTGTGTGTGTGTGTGTGTGTGTGTGTGTGTGTGTGTGTGTGTGTGTGTGTGTGTGTGTCATATATCTTTGGGTGCTTTTTATCATTGCATTTTTCACACAGTATGCAAGTTTGTCCTTGTAAACATACTGTAGACTTTAAACTAGATATGGATGCCAATCTGTCCTTGGGAACAATGTCAAGTGAGAAGAGGCACATTTATTTCGTAGACTTCTATGCAATTGGATCGGAAAGTAGTCAGGTTACATTACTTTTATATTTTGTTACTTAGAATAGGTAACTGATAACATTGTTATACAGTTGACTAGTAGTTTTAACAGATTACATTATGGAAATGTTTTCGTAGACTTCGATAGAATGGGCCCGTCTATTTTATTCTAAATGGGACCGTAATGTATTAAATGAATATCATGCTGTATTGAAGAAGACTTGAAACTAGATATTGAGGCCATTCTCTACTTAGAAAAATGTTTCCTGAGGTAACAAATCAAGCGAGAAAAGGCTAATTTATTTTGTAGACTTCTATGTAATTGGATCGGAAAGTAATCCAGTTACATTACTTTTATACTGTGTTAATTAGATTAGATTGCTGATTACATTTTTCTTACAGGTAATCAGGTCATTTTTTACGTATTACATCTTTAAAGTGGACCTATCATGCTATATTTGAATAATATATTGTAGGGCCATACCTATATAAAACATGTCTGTGAATTTTTTTTTCAAAATACCAAACAGATCATGCATTTTAGCCATGCCTCATTTCGCTCTATTTGCTCTTTTCCAGCCCTGTTTTTGCAAGGGCTGATTCTGTGAGAAGTCTTCTTCGCTGCTTTTGTGGCAGACTACAGCGCCACTTACAGGCCTGGCATATGTACTACAGCGTCTCCAGCGCTTTCGAGCGGCAATGGCCGTGGCCGTGGCCCAACCCCCAATTCCCCTGATAGGTGGAGAGTTGCCCATATAGGCGGAGCTCCCCGTTTCTGACGTCAGAACAATTTCAAATCTGGATCAGTTTTTATCAGATCCGTTGCAGCCCCTTTTTTAGAGATTTGGGTATGGAGGAAAAGAGAGAGGGTTGTGTTTTCTGACACTTGGTGAGTTCCCTGACACACCGGGGACACATATTCATGTAGAAAAGACGTACAAAAGTGCATTTTGCATGATAGGTCCCCTTTAAAGTAACCTTCCCATCCCTGTCTATATCAAGATGTATCCTATCAGAGTGAAGACTGTTTCTTGGACCTTGACTTCATCCCGCTGTGTAAATCTGCTTCTTTGTGTTTTTAGCTTGGGAATTCTCCTCACGCAAACTCCCTCAAGGTCGGGCCTCCCCCGTTCTCCCCTGCTTTTCATTTATTCAATCCCACTCCTTCCCTGCATCGACTTCATCAACGCTGGCACGGACTCTGACGCAAAACAGCACTTAACTTCCTGCCATTTCCCAATCGTTTGTTTGATACACGCCATTTCTCCTCGGCTGTTTTCTCCATTCCAGATGAGGCGAGATGGGTCAGTTTTCACTAGACCTCATCTGGCTCTCATCAGGTGCAGCAAGTGTTTTTGCATGGACTATTTTTCAACAGACATCATTCATCAGCCGCTTTTAAGTCTGTTTACGCGGCTCTGTCTGACGAAAAATTACCCTAATATTTGTATTGTATCGCTGTGGGGATTTATAGCATGTCTACAGCACTCAAACATGACTTTCTCCATCGGTATGATAATAACGACTCTGATAATCAGACTGGATGCAATTTGCTGTCACTTCATTATTCAGTCTGACGTTGTTGGCAGTCCATCTGGAAGTCAGTAGTGTGTTATGTTTTCTGTCCTGTCAACATCTTAGCATAGTTTAGCAGTATAGTTGCCAGGAGTGGTTAAAACAATAGTTTAACGTCGGAGAAATCAAGCTAATGAACTTTTCTTGCAGATATATTTCATTCCTCATTTGTACATAGTGCATTTAAGTCTACAGCCATGGTTAGCTTAGCATAACAACTTCTGCAGTGTCTCAGTTATCATACTTCCCTTAGTTTACTGCCATGCCATGCACTGTGTTCACTAAGTGTGTGAATTTCAAATGTTTTGAGTTTATGAAAACCAATCAGCAAGCTAGCTAGCAACGTTATTGTTCGCACTACCAAAAGACTGCTCAATTAAGCCTATCAAATAAATCTTATCAAGACCAGTATACTGTAGTGGTACATCAGTTCAATTGTGAATTAAACAAGTCTATAAATTCTATCTGTATAGGGCTTTGTTTACTCGAGCAATCGTGTTTTGTAAGGAAAGGGTAGTTAGCTAGCTAGCAGATCTGCAATAATATCCTAAGAAATGATGCAATCACAAAAACCTTTTAGGTAAGTTTCCAAAAACAGTGATAGTTTTCCAGCTTTATAATCCTGAACGTCACCAAGCGTTCCGTTCCCAGTTGTGTGCGTCACTCTTTGGTGTCCCCTGGTCTACCAGCTGTGTGCGTCACTCTTTGGTGTCCCCTGGTCTCCCAGCTGTGTGCGTCACTCTTTGGTGTCCCCTGGTCTACCAGCTGTGTGCGTCACTCTTTGGTGTCCCCTGGTCTCCCAGCTGTGTGCGTCACTCTTTGGTGTCCCCTGGTCTCCCAGCTGTGTGCGTCACTCTTTGGTGTCCCCTGGTCTCCCAGCTGTGTGCGTCACTCTTTGGTGTCCCCTGGTCTCCCAGCTGTGTGCGTCACTCTTTGGTGTCCCCTGGTCTCCCAGCTGTGTGCGTCACTCTTTAGTGTCCCCTGGTCTCCAGCTGTGTGCGCCACTCTTTAGTGTCCCCTGGTCTCCCAGCTGTGTGCGTCACTCTTTAGTGTCCCCTGGTCTCCCAGCTGTGTGCGTCACTCTTTAGTGTCCCCTGGTCTCCCAGCTGTGTGCGTCACTCTTTAGTGTCCCCTGGTCTCCCAGCTGTGTGCGTCACTCTTTGGTGTCCCCTGGTCTCCCAGCTGTGTGCGTCACTCTTTGGTGTCCCCTGGTCTCCGTTGTGTTTGAGCTTCTTGCAGCGTTTGGTTTCAGCAGCTTTTAGTAAACGCTACGCATGTTTCCTCAAGTTGGGGAATCTTTTCCAGCCACTGCATGTGTTGTCAAGATTGTGAAAATGTTTCTTCATGTGTTTTGGAACATTTGTGTATTTATATCTGAATTGTTTTTGAAACTGCAGCGTGTTTCTCCTAATGGAAGTTGTTTTTGTTTGGTTGTAGTGCGTTTGCACCTGTTGGCCACCACACTCCATGTCTGCAAGCACATATTTTTGTTGCTAGTTACTCTTTCAAAAATGTGACATTTAATTCCTTTTGACCTGAATGTCCAAGGCGGCCATTACTGAAAATGTCACAGCTGCTGATGTGATGTACCTGTTCCACCCCGTGTCTCTCAGCTGGTGACGGAGGGGGGGGGTCTCAGTGCCGCTCTGTTAACTGTTTACCCGTTTACCTTCCCTCTATAGCCACCGGCCATCTGTCAGCTCCTGCTAAGTGTGTGTGTGAGTGCTCCTACTGGGACCCCTCTCACACACACATTCATTATGGGAGTTTATTGCACTTAAGGTGACCGACAGGCTTGTGCACACACACTACAAACACACACACACACACACACACACACACACACACACACACACACACACACACACACACACACACACACACACCACACACACACACACACACACACACACACACACACACACACACACACCACACACACACACATACAAGGACATGTGTTGCGAATTTGTCCGACAGACAGACTTGGAGTCGGTGCGAGGAGGGAATTCCTTCATCTGCACGCCCGCCTTCAAGCTGCACATGTGCTCAGCATCTGCTCCACACACACACACACACACACACACACACACACACACACACACACACACACACACACACACACACACACACACACACAGAGAGAGTGTAAGAAGGGATGATAAAGAATACTTATGAAGCAAAAGGGAACACAGGGATTGTAGCTCTTGCAGACCATTGACATGCACTAAAACCTAAGGAATGAACTACAGGAAAGGGAAAACCCCAAACAGCTGAAGAGGGACTCTTTAAGAAAAGGATCTGAGCACTTCTTCCACCTCTGCTTTTGATTTCCAGAAGTGGCTGTTATTGTGTGTGTGTGTTTCTCAAGGCTTCTCTTTTATGTCGCGCTGATGCCACATCTGTCCTCTCTATGAAAAGTGACTGCTTCACTTTCGACATCTCTTGCTCCTTTGAAGGTTGATTGTGCGAGGGAGCCTGTGAATATATATTTATCCCATACACAAACATTGCGTGCATTGCTGCAGTGCACAAACACACGCTATTGCAGTGTGTGTTTTCTAACTTTCTGCTCTGTTAGCCACAGTTTAAATGAATAGAAAGCATATTATTTGCACTGCAGTCATCTCTAAAGGGGAAATCTGCACATTAGAGGATTAATTACTACATGAGAGTGACATGTAAAGCATGCCATATTTAATTGGCTACATAACCTTTTCTGTGTTTTTATTCCCAGATGGTGAAGCCGACCCTGCAGTGTGTGCTGTATTAGTCATTATTTGGTTTTCTGTTGCCGTGCTTACACGTGTTTCTCTCCACATGTTGCAGGATGCTGGAATACTCGCTCGACCTGCAGAACGTCAGCTTTTCGGCAGTGAGGACGGTTCGCGTGCTGAGACCTCTGAGAGCCATCAACAGAGTGCCAAGTGAGTGCAAAAACCAATCAAAACTCAGAGCACTTTGTCCTCCAATATCACACACTTGTGGTTTTCTCAGGAGACACAAACACAGCTTTGATTTTAAATTAAAGACAACGTGTGAGACTTTAAGGCTGACCTCTGCTTTGGGAGATTTGGAGAAACGTCACATAATCTAATAGTGTGTGAGGTTCAGAAATCAGTGCTTCTTTTAGGATTACACTTTAGCTCATTTGAAACCAATGCACCAGCACTTACAATGGTTTGGTTTCTTTGAGTTTATATTCCTGATCTGAGTTTGTTTTTCGGTTGTTTTGTTGCAGTTATTGTAATTTACTTTGCATAAAAGCTTTTGCTAAATGGAATTTAATGTCATGTAATCTGTGACATAATGGCTGCAGATGCTCAGCGTCTGAACACTTTGTTCCCAAATTAAAAAGACGTGTGCCTCAGATTATCAGCCAAACAGAAAACCAACAGCATGACATCAACTTTGATACCTTTCCATAAAAGAGTGTTTACACACTTATTCAGAGCAGAAATCAAACCGAAGTCTTCATTTACAAGCGTTATCTAAACACTGACATATAATATCTCATAATAATGACCAACAAGTGTTGTAATTAAACGTGCTTTGTGGCAGGAGATATGTGTAAATGGACCTTATCTTAATAAATATGACTTTGGGTGATTATGCAGGTGGTTTCCTACACAGCTGCAGTAATGTAGGTCAGAGAGACACTCAGTATTCTGCTTTCACGGTCTCTCTGCGTTTGGCTTTCCCCAGCTACTCAGCTTTGGATTCAATGCAATTTTCCAACACGCAGCATGTTATTAAAGCACTGCAGTTCACACACACATACACACACACACACACACACACACACACACACACACACACACACACACACACACACACACACACACACACACACACACACACACACACACACACACACACACACACACACACACACACACACACACACACACACACACACACACTGCTACCTCCATATGTCATCCCTCCCCATCCCTTTCTCTGTCACACTCGCATATTAAAGTCCATATTCAATCACTTCCATCAGTATCTATTAGTTTAATTGCCATGGCTTGAATTTCCAGTGCACTCATTAGTGTTTATATCATTTGAAATCCACTTTAATAGTGCATTCAGTCTCACCTTTATTCCACCATCCTTTCATTTAAATACGGACCCTAATTAAGCCATCAGCTCTTTATTGCTCGGAGGAGATTGCAGACAAACTTAGCAATGATCCCAGTGTGTGTGTGTGTGTGTGTGTGTGTGTGTGTGTGTGTGTGTGTGTGTGTGTATGTGTGTTTGTGTGTGTGTGTGTGTGTGTGTGTGTGTGTGTGTGTGTGTGTACATGCAGGTGTTTACCCGGTGCAGGTGCATGATGTGATGTCATGTCCCTCGTTCTATGACACTCCTAAACCTAAACTTCTTGATCTGAGCCTCTTGTCAATCAAACACACACACACACACACACACACACACACACACACACACACACACACACACACACACTCGGAAAGCACATACTCATGCTCATTAGACATCCAACCACTAATAGTGACATTAGGGTGTGGATGATTCTGACACTGCAGGGGGAAATGTCATTGGGTAATTGGGGGTGGTTGGTGGGGCGAATATTTTCCTTCTGCTCCATCCCTTCGTCCTTTCCTAATGCTTCAAAATAGATGTGTTTTTATACACGGGTGCTTCTTGGATGCTTTGAATACAGTTCCTACTTCAGTCTGAATTCATGACACTGACTGGCTCGTAGAGTTCGAACTACATGTTTGTAACTTGTAGGACAGCGAGTAATAACCTTATACATGTCTTGTACATTGGGGAATGTCAGTATCGTTCTGAAATAGTCTTAAAAAAAAAGTGAACCTGTCCTCTAATCCTGCCTTAATGTCTCTAACTCTAAAGTTTAATGAGTTTTGGAGATGTTTAATGCTGAAGTGGACATTTCATGCCTGTTGGGGGGTGCTAAATGAGCGGCTAGGGGATCAGCAAAGTCATTAAAGTCGTTTGGATTGATCCCATTAGAGCCATGATTGTCCACATTTTGGGCAAATCAAGTTTAAAGCATTTGGGATGTTACACAAAGTTAAAGTCCTGGACCTTAAATACTTGGCTGAATTCCCCTTCTGTTCCCTCTAATGCAGTGAAATCAAGTTTCATCAGCATTATAGTGACTGTTCAAGGCTCAGGTGTACAGCAGCTGGTTGACAGAGAGCCAATTGGCACATAACCAGCAATAACCACCATGCAATGAGCATCTAATCTATGTACTATAGCCAACTTCTCAAGGAAAATATGCTTTATTTAATAGCAAAGGCCAGTAGAAAGCACGCAAATAAACAAGCTGTCGTCAGCGTAGAGATATTAAATGCTGGTCTTCAGGTTACTGTCCTTAATGGGAGATCTGTCAGTTTTAAACATCATAAAAAAGGAAATTATGTGTGTGTATTAAATCTCATTTTTGGCAAAGAGGAGTGAATTGTATGGTCGTTGTGAATAATGGAGATGAAACGGCTTCAGTGTGAAGTGAGAGAGTGGTCCAGTAAATCATAACCTGACAGGTATGAGGTGGATGGTAATGCCAGGCTGATATATACAGACAGAGCTGCTGTTTATGATTATATCAGCATGCATTTACAGGTAAGAGAGATTTATTCAATGTCAGTCCAAGGTGGTGCTAAGTTTCCATTTTCAGCCTCTTGGACCACTTTTTTGTTGATTTCTGTCTAAAATAAGCCATTCGAACATAATCAAATAATTAAGCTCTACATTATTTTGTGTAGCACTTTTTATAGGCAGGATACAGCTAAAAGTGCTTTAATGAACACATGCAGCAAATATACATGATTCATAATTTTAAGAAGGTAGAATAAGCCAATTATTTAATGCAAATATATTATTAAAAAAAGTCAACAACAGATAACCCACTCGGAAAACGTTTGAAATAATTAAGATGAAATGTATTAATAAGATTAAATAATAAATAGTAATGAAATAAATACGAAAAATAAAGACTAACAGAAGCGTCATTGTAATTTTCAAGCTAAGTAAAAAAAAGTTATATATAAAAAAAAGAATAAATATATATATACATAAAGATATACATTAAAAATAAATAAATAAAGACTAAATTTGAAGTGGCATATTGCTATTTAAAACCTCAGTTAAAAGAGTATGTTTTAAATGTTTAAAAATAGGCAAATGTCCGTAGCTAACAATGCTATTTACACCCGGGTGTCCATAGCTAACAATGCTATTTACACCCGGGTGTCCGTAGCTAACAATGCTATTTACACCCGGGTGTCCGTAGGTAACAATGCTATTTACACCCGGGTGTCCGTAGGTAACAATGCTATTTACACCTGGGTGTCCAACACAGTCTCACGGCATTTCGTGTTATAGTCACTAAATGAATCTATTGATTCGTGTTCACCAACACGATTTCGCCATTTTTTTCGTGTCACACAGAACGATTTTAAAAGCAATGTAAATAATAACAAATTAGAAGGAAAAAGACATTTAAAAAAATACAGATTTAAGTATTCTGACACAGAACGATTTTAGAAGCAATGTATTTATATTGGTAGTATGTTTCGTGCCTGCACCAAATAATAACAAATTAGAAGGAAAAAAAGATGACATAAAATACAGATGTCAGTATTCTGAGGCTCTGAGACATTTCTTTTCCTCACTGACGGCAAAAAAACTCAGACATTATACAATTTAAAATAAAAGGGATAGGGTTAGGCTTAGGGTAAGATATTGAGTAAGAACATGTTTTTATGAACCAACAACCCAGTCTCACGGCATTTCGTGTTATTAGTCAGATATGATGCCATAAAGTGTTGCAGGGATGAAATATTTATAAAAGCCAATTGGGATTTTTGATTATTGCAGATAACAAACTTTTATGATACTTACACGTTTTGTTCAGCAGAAAAATCTCTAGGAAATGCAGCACGGTCACATGACTTCACGTCACCTCCGCTAAGCTAAAGGTGGCTAATGTTGTGCTATAAAGGAACTACAGCACGGTCACATGACTTCACGCCACCACCGCTAAGCTAAAGGTGGCTAATGTTGGGCTATAAAGGAACTACAGCACGGTCACATGACTTCACGTCACCACTGCTAAGCTAAAGGTGGCTAATGTTGGGCTATAAAGGAACTACACCACGGTCACATGACTTCACGTCACCACCGCTAAGTTAAAGGTGGCTAATGTTGGGCTATAAAGGAACTACAGCACGGTCACATGACTTCACGTCACCTCCGCTAAGCTAAAGGTGGCTAATGTTGGGCTATAAAGGAACTACAGCACGGTCACATGACTTCACGTCACCACCGCTAAGCTAAAGGTGGCTAATGTTGGGCTATAAAGGAACTACAGCACGGTCACATGACTTCACATCTCCACCGCTAAGCTAAAGGTGGCTAATGTTGGGCTATAAAGGAACTACATCACGGTCACATGACTTCACATCTCCACCGCTAAGCTAAAGGTGGCTAATGTTGGGCTATAAAGGAACTACAGCACGGTCACATGACTTCACATCTCCACCGCTAAGCTAAAGGTGGCTAATGTTGGGCTATAAAGGAACTACAGCACGGTCACATGACTTCACGTCACCACCGCTAAGCTAAAGGCGTCTAATGTTGGGCTATAAAGGAACTACAGCACGGTCACATGACTTCACGTCACCACCGCTAAGCTAAAGGCGGCTAATGTTGGGCTATAAAGGAACTACAGCACGGTCACATGACTTCACGTCACCACTGCTAAGCTAAAGGTGGCTAATGTTGGGCTATAAAGGAACTACAGCACGGTCACATGACTTCACGTCACCACCGCTAAGCTAATGGCGTCTAATGTTGGGCTATAAAGGAACTACAGCACGGTCACATGACTTCACGTCACCTCCGCTAAGCTAAAGGTGGCTAATGTTGGGCTATA